GTAAACTAGTTCAACCATTGTAGAAGACGGTGTGGCAGTTCCTGAAGGCTCTAGAAGCAGAAATACCATTTGGCCCAGCAATCCCATTACTAGGTTTATATCCAAAGAAATAGAAATCGTTCTGTTTTAAAGATACATGCATACTTATGTTTATTGCAGCACTATTCACAACAGCAAAGACATGGAATCAACCCAAACTTCCATCAACGATAGACTGGATAAAGAAAATGTGATACATATACACCATGGAATACTATACAGCCATAAAAAGAAATGAGGTCATGTCTTTTGCAGGGACATGGATGAAGCTGGAAGCCATAATCTTCAACAAATTAACACAGGAACAGAAAACCAAACACCACATGTTCTCATAAGTGGAAACCGAACAATGAGAACACATGGACACGGGGAGGGGAAGAATACACACCGGAGCCTGTTGGGAAGGTGGGGGAGAGGAGAGCATTCAGAGAAATAGCTAATGCATGTGGTGCTTAATACCTACGTGATAGATTGACAGGTGCAGCAAACCACCATGGCACATGTTTAACTATGTAACAAACCTGCACATCCTGTACATGTATACCAGAACTTAAAATAGAAAAGACAAAGAAGGATATTACATAATGGCAAAGGTTTCAATTCAACAAGAAGACCTAACTCTCCTAAATATATATTCATCCAACACAGGAGCACCCAGATTCATAAATAAAGTTCTTAGAGACCTACAAAGTATGTTTCACAGTAATAGTGGGAGATTTCCACACTGCAGTGACAGTATTAGACATATCATTGAGGCAAAAAATTAACAAAGATATTCAGGACCTGAACTCAACATTGGATCAAATGGATCTGATAGGACTTTATGGAAATCTCCACTCAAAAACAACAGAATATGCATTCCTCTCATCATCATATGCCACATACTCTAAAATCACTCACATAATTGGACATAAAGCAATCCTCAGCAAATGCAAAACAACTGAAATCATATCAAACACACACTCAGATCACAGTGCAATAAAAATAGAAGTCAAGACTAATAAAATTTCTGAAAATCATGCAATTACATGGAAATCAAACAACATACTCTTGAATGACTTTTTAGTAAAGAAATTAAAGCAGAAATCAAGAAGTTCTTTGAAAATAATGAGAACAAAGTTACATACTAGAGCTTCTGGACAAAGCTAAGGCAATGTTAGGAGGGGAATTTATAGCACTAAATCCCACATCAAAAAGTTAGGAAGAACTCAAATTAATAACCTAACATCTCAACTGAAAGAGAAGCAAGACAAAACCCCAAAGCTAGAGGAAGACAAGAAATAACCAAAAATCCGAGCTGAACTGAAGGAAACCGAGACATGAAACAAAACAAAACAAAACAAAACAAAAAAGCCATTCAAAAGATCTACTAATTCAGGGTAGGTTTCTTGAAAATATTAATAAGAAAGTCTGATGATTCAAATAAACACAATTAGAAATGACAAAGGGAATGTTACCACTGACCCCACAGAAATAGAAACAACCATCAGAAACTACTGCAAACACTTCTATGCATACGAACTAGAAAACTTCAAAGAGATAGATAAATTCCTGGACAAATAAACCCTCCCACAACTCAGCCAGGAAGAAATTGATGTGCTGAACAGACCAATAGAAAGCTCCAAAATTGAATCAGTAATAAATAACCTACCAACCCCAAAAGCCCAGGACGTGATGGATTCCCAGCCATATTCTACGAGAAGTACAAAGAAGAGCTGGTGCCATTTTTACAGGAACTATTTGAAAATATTGAGGAGGAACACCTCCCCAGCTCATTCTGTGAGGCCAACATCATCTTGATACCAAAATCTAGCAGAAACCACAAAAAAAGACTTCAGGACAATACCCTCGACGAACATCAATGCAAAAATCCTCAACAAAATACTGGCAAACCAAATCCAGCAGCACATCAAAGAGTTAATCCATCATGATCAAGTATGCTTCATCCCCAGGATGCAAGGTTGCCTCAACATACACAAATCAATTAATCTGATTCATCACATAAACAAAACTAAAGATATAAACCACTTGATTATCTCAATATATGCAGAAAATGCTTTCTTTTTTTTAATTATACTTTTTCTAGGGTACATATGCACAACATGCAGGTTTGTTACATATGTATACATGTGTCATGTTGGTGTGCTGCACCCATTAACTCATCGTTTACATTAGGTATATCTCCTAATGCTATCCCTCCCCACTTTCCCCTCCCCACAAAAGGCCCCAGTGTGTGATGTTCCCCTTCCTGTGTTCAAGTGATCTCATTGTTCAATTCCCACCTATGAGTGAGAACGTGCGGTGTTTGCTTTTCTGTTCTTGCGATAGTTTGCTGAGAATGATGGTTTCCAGCTGCATCCATGTCCCTACAAAGGACAAAGGACATAAACTCATCCTTTTTTATGGCTGCATAGTATTCCATAGTGTATATGTGCCACATTTTCTTAATCCAGTCTATCACTGATGAACATTTGGGTTGATTCTAACTCTTTGCTATTGTGAATAGTGCCACAATAAACATACGTGTGCATGTGTCCTTATAGCGGCATGATTTATAATCCTTTGGGTATATACCCAGTAATGGGATGGCTGTGTCAAATGGTATTTCTAGTTGTAGATCCTTGAGGAATCACCACACTGTTTTCCACAATGGTTGAACTAGTTTACAGTCCCACCAACAATGTAAAAGTGTTCCTATTTCTCCACATCCTCTCCAGCATCTGTTGTTTCCTGACTTTTTAATGATTGCCATTCTAACTGGTGTGAGATGGTATCTCATTGTGGTTTTGATTTGCATTTCTCTGATGGTGAGTGATGATGAGTACTTTTTCATGTGTCTGTTGGCTGCATAAATGTCTTCTTTTGAGAAATGTCTGTTCATATCCTTTGCCCACTTTTTGATGGGGTTGTTTGTTTTTTTCTTGTAAATTTGTTTTGAGTTCTTTGTAGGTTCTGGATATTAGCCCTTTGTCAGATGAGTAGATTGCAAAAATTTTCTCCCATTCTGTAGGTTGCCTGTTCACTCTGATGGTAGTTTCTTTTGCTGTGCAGAAGCTCTTTAGTTTAATTAGATCTCATTTGTCAATTTTGGCTTTTGTTGCCATTGCTTTTGGTGTTTTAGACATGAAGTCCTTGCCCATGCCTATGTCCTGAATGGTATTACCTAGGTTTTCGTCTAAGGTTTTTATGGTTTTAGGTCTAACATTTAAGTCTCTAATCCTTCTTGAATTAATTTTCGTATAAGGAGTAAGAAAAGGATCCAGTTTCAGCTTCTACTTATGGCTAACCAATTTTCCCAGCACCATTTATTAAATAGGGAATCCTTTCCCCATTTCTTGTTTTTGTCAGGTTTGCCAAAGATCAGATGGCTGTAGATGTGTGGTATTATTTCTGAGGACTCTGTTCTGTTCCATTGGTCTATATTTCTGTTTTGATGCCAGTACCATGCTGTTTTGGTTACTGTAGCCTTGTAGTATAGTTTGAACTCAGGTAGTGTGATGCCTCCAGCTTTGTTCTTTTGGCTTAGGATTGTCTTGGCAATGTGGTCTCTTTTTTGGTTCCATATGAACTTTAAAGTAGTTTTTTCCAATTCTGTGAAGAAAGTCATTGGTAGCTTAATGGGAATGTCATTGAATCTATAAATTACCTTGGGCAGTATGGCCATTTTCACGATATTGATTCTTCCTATCCATGAGCATGGTATGTTCTTCCATTTGTTTGTGTCCTCTTTTATTTCACTGAGCAGTGGTTTGTAGTTCTCCTTGAAGAGGTCCTTTACATCCCTTGTAAGTTGGATTCCTAGGTATTTTATTCTCTTTGAAGCTATTGTGAATGGAAGTTCATTCATGATTTGGCTCTCTGTTTGTCTGTTACTGGTGTATAAGAATGCTTGTGATTTTTGTATATTGATTTTGTACCCTGAGACTTTGCTGAAGTTCCTTATCAGCTTAAGGAGATTTTGGGCTGAGACAATGGGGTTTTCTAAATATACAATCATGTCATCTGCAAACAGGGACAATTTGACTTCTTCTTTTCCTAACTGAATACCCTTTATTTCTTTTTCTTGCCTGATTGCCCTAGCCAGAACTTCCACCACTATGGTGGAAGTCAGAACTTCCACCACTATAGGAGTTCCACCACTATAGGAGTGGTGAGAGAGGGCATCCCTATCTTATGCCAGTTTTCAAAGGGAATGCTTCCTGTTTTTGCCCATTCAGTATGATATTGGCTGTGGGTTTGTCATAAATAGCTCTTATTATTTTGAGATACGTTCCATCAATACCAAATTTATTGAGAGTTTTTAGCATGAAGGGCTGTTGAATTTTGTCAAAGGCCTTTTCTGCCTCTATTGAGATAATCATGTGGTTTTTGTCTTTGGTTCTGTTTATATGCTGGATTATGTTTATTGATTTGTGTATGTTGAACCAGCCTTGCATCCCAGGGATGAAGCCCACTTGATCATGGTGGTTACGCTTTTTGATGTGCTGCTGGATTCGGTTTGCCAGTATTTTATTGAGGATTTTTGCATCGATGTTCTGTTCTTTTACATTTGCTGAGGAGTGCTTTACTTCCAATTATGTGGTCAATTTTGGAATAAGTGCGATGTGGTGCTGAGAAGAATGTATATTGTGTTGATTTGGAGTGAAGAGTTCTGTAGATGTCTATTAGGTCCACTTGGTGCAGAGTTGAGTTCAATTCCTGGATATCCTTGTTAACTTTCTGTCTCATTGATCTGTCTAATGTTGACAGTGGGATGTTAAAGTCTCCCATTATTGTATGGGAGTCTAAGTCTCTTTGTAAGTCTCTAAGGACTTGCTTTATGAATCTGGGTGCTCCTGTATTGGTTGCATTTATATTTAGGATACTTAGCTCTTCTTGTTGAACTGATCCCTTTACCATTATGTAATGACCTTCTTTGTCTCTTATGATCTTTGATGGTTTAAAGTCTGTTTTATCAGAGACTAGGATTGCAACCCCTGCCTTTTTTTGTTTTCCTTTTGTTTGGTAGATCTAGAAAAGGCTTTCAATAAAATTCAATGCCTCTCCATATTAAAAACTCCAAAAAATCTGGGGTATTGAAGAAACATAACTCAAAATGATGAGCTGTTTTTGTACCAGTATCATGCTGTTTTGGTTACTGTAGCCCTGTAGTGTAGTTTGAAGTTGGGTAACGTGATGCCTCCAGCTTCGTTCTTTTTGCTGAGGATTGCTTGGCTATTAGAGCTCTTTTTTTGGTTCTGCATGAATTTTGAAATAGTTTGCTCTAGTTCTGTGAGGAATGCGATTGGTAGTTTAATAGGGATAGCTTGCATCTGTAAATTACTTTGGGCAGTATAGCCATTTTAATGACATTAATTCTTCCTATCCATGAGAATGAAATGTTTTTCCGTTTGTTTATGTCTTCTCTGATTTCTTTGAGCAGTGTTTTGTAATTCTCCTAGAGATCTCCTAGAGATCTTTCACCTCCCTGGTTAGCTGTATTCCTAGGTATTTTAGTTTTTCTGTGTGTAGCAATTATGAATGGGATTGTGTTCTTCATTTGACTCTCTTCTTGACTTGATGTATAGGACTGCTAGTAATTTTCACACATTGATTTTGTATGCTAAGATTTTGCTACAGTTTATCAGCAGAAGCAGCTTTGGGGCCAAGACTGTGGGGTTTTCTGGACATGGAATCATGTCATCTGTAAACAGAGACAGTTTGATTTGCTATCTATTCCTCTCTTCCTTCCTCTATTTGGATGCCCTTCCAGTTTTGCACATTCAGTGTAATGTTGGCTGTGGGTTTGTCATGGCTAGCTCTCATCATCTTGGCACTTCTGACTAGAAGGGCAAGAGGGGCCAGTGTTGTTGTTCCCTGAAAGGTAAGTGCAGCCCACAATTACAAATGTAGTGAAGAAGATACATGCATATGTATAAGTAAATATAATTGAGATATATTTAGCAGACATAATCAATAGAGTTGATGAGTGACTGACTGGATGTGTGGGGAATTTATATCACTCCCAGGTTTTTGACTTGGGCAACTGGACACTCACGAAGGAAAAAGAGGATCCAAGGAGAGGAACTTGTCTGAGGACTGGGGTAGGGCTGAACAGCTGCATTTGAGACTAGTGGAGGGTGGGCTGGGCATGGGATGCACAAATGGAAATTCCACTGGGTCTGCAGCTCACACATGGGCATGACCAGCATAGAGATAGAGAGGCCCCAACACTGCTGAGAAACTGTAATTCCCTGGTGATGGTGTCAGCTGAGAAGGGAAGGAAGCCCATTTGAGGACACCGATCATTTGAGGACACTGAAGAAGGAGTGAGCAGACAAAAAGAAGCCCACAGAAGACAGGGAAGAAACAACTAGAGGGAGAAGCCAAGGCAAGCGTGTGTGGTAACATATAGGAACTGAGGGAGAGGACATTTCAAGATGGAGGGGATGTCATACAACAGGACTATGCAATGGTTTTTGACTGTGTCCACAGGAAGTCACAACAGGCAAGGGAAAGAAACCAGAACCCTGTCATGGAGTTAAGGAGTGAGTCAGAGAGGAGATGGGTAGGGACAGTGAGGTAAGGCCTCTTTTTAAGGAATTTTGGCTGAAGGATAGACTAGCTGGACACATGCTTGGTGTGTGGGGTAGAGGGAGGAATGATGCGGGGTAGGAGAGCCTTGAGCCTGTGAGAAGAATCTCCTAGAACAGAGAAGCTGAAGTTAAAGTTATGGGAGAGAGTGGGGATAACTGAGTGACAGATAATCAGTGACCTTTGCCAAGAGCACAGCCCTCTTTCACTGTCACAGAGAGGAAGGACAAAACAATTGGTGTTCAAGAGTTTGTAGCACAATATTTTAACTATGTCCTTTAAAAAGTTTCTCCACAGACACTACCCAAAGCAGTCCTTCACTACAGTGGCAGATGGACCTGAACATTTTCACCTGAAGCAGCAGAGGGAACTGCAGAGTCAGGTAATTTCTAGAAGGCTTGCTTTGTTAGATTGATACTAAAGATTATTCATGAGACCAGTCTTCTGAGATTTCTGTCATTTCTGTCATGCCAGGTCACCAACCAGTAAGGAGGCTAAAAGCAGGCCTCTTTGGGGATTCCAGATGGAAGTGTTAGACATCTGTAGTATTCCTGGTCTCGAATCATCCTGATATTCTTCATTTTGTTATTCACATTGGACTAGGGCAAGGAAACGAGTTCTGGTCCAAGTCAATGTTTCCCAATAATGTTGATGTATTTGGTTCCAAATATTTAAACACATTTTATAAATAGCTTTTCCACACCACATATATAGGGAAAAGCCAGGAGTTAACTTGGGCCAGCAGCACTGTATGCGGGGCTAACACCTTGTCTGTGTATCTCACACCAACCCTAAGCTTTTTTTCCTTCCTGTCACTTTACTCATCTTTCTTTCACATGAAATAATGTTCATTTTCTTTGAAAATGAGCTCATTTCCTTGTTTTCTTTCCATATTTCAGCAAGAACAAAGATCACCACAAGTGGCCCCCCTTCAACTATGCTAGATGGCAACTTGCCTTCAGTATGGTGAAACACATCGGTTAAGACGGGTTGTGCATGGCAGGACTTTCTACAAGGACACCCAATCTCCTTAATAAACATGAGATGTTCTCTTTCCAGAAGTTCTCTTGCCTGACACAGCACAGGAAGATGCCGAATGGCCACACAGTGATCTATTGATCAGTGGTGACGTAAGGGGGTCAGAAGGGAGGAGTGAGGAGAAGCAGGGAAGACTGGGTGGTTGTAGGCCTCCTTCATCTGTTCATTGGCTGTGGCATTAGGCCAGCTACTCTTTGCACTTCTGTAAAGTGAGACGGTCGATCTTGTCTACCTCTCCAGAGGATGGCTGCAAGTGTCAAATGTGGGGTAGTTAGGTGGGAGGGCATTTCAAAAAGTTAAAAAATGTGATTTTGGAGGCTTGTAATGTTGATGATTGTTATAATCCCTGATAATTCCTAGTATGAAAAAGGGAAAAGAAGATAATCTGTGAAAGAAGTAAGTGTCCAGTTACTAGTCTTTGAAAAGTGTCAGTCTGTAGCTCTTCTTAATGAGAATAGGCAGCTTTCAGTTGCCCAGGGTCAGATTTCCTTAGTGGTGTATCTAATCACAGGAAAGATTGTGGTTCCCTCCAGTCTCTTTCTGGGGGACTAGAGCCCACTTGTCATTTCATTTAATTAGCGGAAATATAACTCAAAGTAGAATTTACTGTTAACAATGCCACAGAAACATGGTTGGAAACTATTTTTTGGTTTGTGTAAAATGCTGTTTTTATGTGCTTATAATGGTTCCAAAAATTGGGTGCTGGCCAAAGAGAGATACTGTTACAGAAGCCAGCAAGAAGACCTCTGTTCATTCACACCCCGGGGGTATCAGGAATTGACTCCAGTGTGTGCAAATCCAATTTGCCTGTCTTCTCAAGTTAGGGTTAATTGGATAATTCTGGAGAAGTACACACTGAAAACTATAACTAAGCCTAGCAATTAAATACTAGCTTCCTGCCTATTACATGCCTTTGTACCGTGCAAAAGAGCTCACAGGGCCTCTGAGGAAAGATCATTAACACACACCTCAAATGACTATGTCTGATTTCCTGGAAGGACTCAGAAAGGGAACGATGACTGTGGATTGGACTGGATAGTGCCTCATGCTGGAGGTGGGGTTTGAATGGAGCCTTGAAGGTTGAGAAAAAGTGATATAAACACTAGCTCCTTCCTTTTGAAAGCACATGACACTCTTTGGGCTTAGTGGTTATAGATACCTTTAGCACAGCCCAGGAGCAAGCATTCATTGTCTACCTATCATATGCTTGACTTTGGAAATGCAAATAAAAAAGGAGGTCACTGTTTTATGAAAGGATGATTTTATTCTACCTGATGTAGTCAGCTGCAAGCTTCAGAAGGCAGCACATACAATAATTATGGGCTGGTGAGATGAGAGCTAATGAAGAGATGTACAAAGTGCCATGGGATCACCAAGCAGTGGTCAGGTGAAGGCATCTGATTTTCTTTAAGATCTTGCTCAAATGTCATCTCCTCTAGAAGAAAATGTAGGGTTTCACTAGGCAGACAACATAGGGAAATTCATCTCAGTTCAAGAAACATGTATTGATTATCTAATACGTTCAAGCAGTTGTGCACTGGGGCTAGAAAAACATCATCATCATCATCATCATCATCATCATCATCATCAACAACAACAACAACAATCTTGCTGTATTCCAGGCACAAAATTTTACATGTATTATCTCATTTAATCTCAAACAACTCTATGACATAGGTGTTTATTATTATCCCTATTTAGATGAAACATTTAACCTTCAGAGAATTTAAATGAATTGCACTTGCAAGCTTAGCAGGTGAGGAATCAAATTTGGAATAGGACCTAGATCAGTGATCCCCTAGATCCACAATCTTGACCAGTACCCTGTTCTCTTTGCTTAGAGAGCACTGAGAGAAAATCTGTAAGCAAATAATCACAAAACAAGGGATGATGCAATATACGTAAAGGTAGGATTTTACCTTAAGTGGAAGGAGGAAGAAGTCATTATTTATTTTTTCTGGGTGAGAGATGAAAACACTTCTGCAAGAGTATTTCCAATTTCACCAAAGTATGGAAAGATGTTTATCCTAATAACAACACTCAGTAATGGTGTTTAATTTCAGCCTAGTACATGATTTGATTCTAAAACACAACATTTCCTTAGAATTTTTGATATCTGGAATTCTATAGCTCAATGGTTTTGGTGGAAAATTGACTATTAATATTTTATATACTTCTTTTGATAATTTTGGGGCTAAATGAATCAAATCTATTCATAATTCTTAAGTTTTCAAATTCTGAAATCTTTTAGAGTTGTTTGGTTAAAACTAGTTCTTCCAGTTTGTTAGCTTACCAAATGAGCCAAAATAAGGAAAAAACAAAAATTTATTTTCAGTCAGATATAGAAAGTTATTTAGTTTAGTTACATGATGTTGTCTCTGCCTTTAAAAAATTTCTTCTTTCTTTTTTTCTCCCTCTCTCTTTTTGAGGGGATTATAAACACTGCCAATATTTTTTGCCTAAAGGGTAAATCCTCCTAAACTCTTTTGGGATCTATGTTAGGTGCCAGATTGTCATAAGAAAATTATGTGAACTACTGGTGAATAAACAAGCAAACCAGAAGTTAGTTTTTCAGAACAGATGCAAGCCAGTAGTTCACAGGCATTATCCAGCAACTGGTGGGGATCTACTTGGCCAGCCCCTGACCACTGTAGATGTGAACTTCCCTGGACCTTGGCAGTCAAAAGGGAGAGAGGCAGAGAAAGCCCCGTTCTCATCACTAATTCCCTTTTGACCACACATGACAGCATGACCTGCTTCAAAGAAATAATTCTATAAATTATAGAATTATTTATAGAATTCTAAATGGTGGTTAGGTGCCCCCACAAGCTCACAGTAGCCCATTCAACAAAGAGCAAAAGTAAAATTACTTCTGATGGATTTAGCAACATCATAGTTCACCCGTGAGGCAACAGGCTTTTATTGCTTGCTTTGAGACTGGCTTCTTCTCATTTTCTTTAGGAAAGTGAGCCTACCTGACTTAGAAACAAAATTTTGGAACAGAAACCCTTTGTAAGTTGGGAGATCCCTAAACTAAAATTTCAAGTGAGATGAAAAGCCCCTTGAGAAATAAAATTCTGTCTGGTCATGGTGGCTGATGCCTGTAATTCTGGCACTTTGGAAGGTTGAGGCAGGAAGATCACTTGAGGCCAGGAGTTTGAGACCAGCCTAAGCAACATAGGGAAACCCCTGTGATATGTTTTGGACATGTGTCCCCACCCAAATCTCATGTTGAACTGTAATCCCCAGTGTTGTAGGTGGTGTCTGGAGGGAGGTGACTGGATTACGAGGGTGGATTTCTCATGAATGGTTTAGTACTATCTCCGTGGTTCTCCTCATGATAGCAGGTGAGCTCTCACAAGATCTGGTTGTTTAAAAGTGTGTAGTATCTCCCCTCTCACTCACTTGTTCCTGCTTTCACTATGTGACATGCCCTGCTCCACTTTCACAATCTGCCAGTAATTTGTGGCAGGTTATGAGTGTGTGTAATTTATGAGTGCTGATAGGATGAAAGATAGAAAATGATTTTAGATAGAAAGAAAATCATTCCGGAAGCTTCGAGTCTTCCTTTTGTAATCTATGTTGGTTCTTTTTTAATATTCCCTGTTTCAACACTGACTGACTTGGAGTCTCTCTCACCATGACTACATGTAATATGTGATTCTAGGATGTATACTAGAACAGAAAATGGGCACTAAATAAAAACTGAGGAATTTTGAACAAGTATGGTCTTTAGATAATAATAATATAACAATATTGATGCCTTAATTGTAATGCATGCACCACACTAATATAAAATGTTAGTAATAGAGAAAGCAGAGTTTGGGTACTTACCAGGAACATTATACTATTTTTACAATGTTTCTGTAAACCCAATAGTGTTCAAAAATTAAAATTTTATTTAAATCAATTGCACTATATAAGATTAATTAAACCCAAATTGTGGAAAATATAACTTCTGTTATAATGTCCTTGGAAGCTTCTAAAGACAGGCTTTTATTTTTTATTTTTAGTAGAAATTGTACATATTTTCAAGTCAAACTGTTAATATGTGACAATATTTGCAGTACTGAAAGCTTAATAACTTATAGATTCATGGTAATGAAAAGCAAAGCATACTGTTGTTTTTTGGAATACTGTATGAATTATGTTTTGTTTTGTTTTGTTTTGTTTTTTAAGACAGATTCTCACTCATTTGCCCAGGCTGGAGTGCAGTAGGATGATCTCAGCTTACTGCAACTTCTGCCTTCCAAGTTCAAGCAGTTCTTCTGCCTTAGCCTCCCCAGTAGCTGGGACTACAGGCATGTGCCACTATACCTGGCTAATTTTTCTTTTTTTTTTTTT